GCACACTAAAATCATAATTTCTACCCATGGAGAGGGGTGAAAAACTACCAAACTATCTTTTCAAAACAGGTATTACCCTTTTAACTTAAAGGAGTTGTTCTACACCCACCTGTCCCTCTCCATAGCTCAATGTTGCCGTTTCACCGTCCTTCTTGTCGATAACCTTCATACCGAGGTGATTTGACCAATACTCTAAAAAAATGTGGAAAAGAAAACTTTAGATGAAAATTGCAAAAAACTTCTGGAAAACCAACATACCCACACTTTTGTCCAGTTGTTTCACGCGTGTGCCTATTTTCACTATTTTTGACTCGCTACTTCCAGCACATATATAAATTGGATGTCCATCTGGATCCCTTATCTGAAGTAGAATTTTTTGTAATTTCAGGTTTTTAATTACCTTCTAGAATAATTTTGAAAAAAGGTGAAAATTTTTAAAAATTCGTACAAGTCAACAAGCTAAAATTCCTTCTCTCCAAGCAGATGTTTTTTAAACGAGTTCCTTAGCCTTACAGTAATCTATTTTCCTTCGATAATGCAAATTTTAGAGTCTCCACTCTATTCGCGCCCAACTGACCAATGGGACAGCAGCTCGATTCCAGCGTTTCCGCTATACACCTTTTCACGTTAATTGATTAAGTTTTGCGTGATACGGTGCGTGCGCGAAATGGTCGTATGTTTGTTTGTTTAAGTAGAAGCAATTTCGAAAACAAAGGTTCCAACCTGTACACCTCCAGAGGATAGCGTTGTAGCTAGTCCTGTACCCTGCACAAGATTATGCACTTCGTCAGACTTTATATAAATTCCCTAGAAAAAGGTATTCATGCCCACTAAGAATGATTAGAGATGTTGTTCCTTTTTACTAACCTCCAATTCATTACCGAGCTCGTAAGAGTTCTTTTCGTAGTTGTATGTCAACTCTAGCACGAAAAAATCGTCTTCAGGTCCATAGCCAACCATAGTTTTACTCCAAGGACCTTTGTAAGGTCTGAGATATGATAGCGTTGAGAATTAAAGATGTGAAATAAGTTTTAACCAGTACCCATTGCATCCAACTTTGCATCCTTCTTTGAATTCTTCATGTCGCAGCACCTGAAGCGAATTTATTCTTTAAAAATACCATAGCTGAGATAGCACAAAAGATGTCTACCTTCATCTGCAGAATTTTTGTGTAAAAATCATACGAGGCTTTTCGATTGCCAATTTTTAATGCGTAATGGAGTGCTCTAGACATCCTTGATCTAAATTTCATGGAGACGTTAGGGTATAGTCGTAGGAAGATTTTACAAGAGAAAAATTATACGCTAGTTTGTCGCAGATTATACAATAATACTTTACGAAAAATTTCAACAAATTAAAGAGCTGGATTGATATAGAATCAAACAGAATAGCAAGCTGCTCGGGTTTCTTATTTTCTCATATCGAGGAGGAAACTATGGGTCACAGAAGTATTTTTTTTTCACGCAAAATTTATCTGTAAACTTATATGGGAACTTAAATTTATATTTAGGCTGAAAGTAGATTTTAGATTTTTACAGTATGTTCGGAAAAAATTAATTATTACCCTAACAATATGTAAACGCACAGATTTGGTAAATATACACCTAGAACAGTAAATATTAATCTAAAATGTTATCAAACAAGAATGCTTGAGTTGAAGAAGCTCCTTACTAAAAAGGTTCTCAAAGTAGCCA